TCTGGCCAGTGTTTACAAGCCAGTCAGCCACCGCGGTTGCTTCCAAGCATACAATCGGAACATTTCATATTATCACAGCCTTTTTAGTGATTGCACCTGCAAAATAAGTCACCATGGGCCCCAAGAAAGCTTCTAGTGCCAACCCTACAGCAAAGAGGGTGAGAATTACTATGGATATGAAGAAAGAGATCATTGCTAAATATGAAAGTGGAGTGCATGTCTCCGAGCTGGCCAGGCTGTACACAAAACCCCAATCAACCATCGCTACTATTGTGGCCAAGAAAACGGCAATCAAGGAAGCTGTTCTTGCCAAAGGTGCAACTATGTTTTCGAAACTGAGATCGCAAGTGATAGAAGATATTGAGAGACTGTTATTAGTTTTGGAGTGGTTGGTGCAATTATTTAATAAATGTATGGAAGAGGGTAAGGTACCTAGGGATTGGCAGAGAGCATGCATAGTTCCTTTGTATAAAGGCAAAGGGGATAAAAGAGAGTGCAAAAATTATAGGGGGATAAGTCTGTTGAGTGTACCTGGTAAAGTGTATGGTAGAGTTATAATTGAAAGAATTAAGAGTAAGACGGAGAATAGGATAGCAGATGAACAAGGAGGCTTTAGGAAAGGTAGGGGGTGTGTGGACCAGGTGTTTACAGTGAAACATATAAGTGAACAGTATTTAGATAAGGCTAAAGAGGTCTTTGTGGCATTTATGGATTTGGAAAAGGCGTATGACAGGGTGGATAGGGGGGCAATGTGGCAGATGTTGCAAGTGTATGGTGTAGGAGGTAGGTTACTGAAAGCAGTGAAGAGTTTTTACGAGGATAGTGAGGCTCAAGTTAGAGTATGTAGGAAAGAGGGAATTTTTTCCCAGTAAAAGTAGGCCTTAGACAAGGATGTGTGATGTCACCGTGGTTGTTTAATATATTTATAGATGGGGTTGTAAGAGAAGTAAATGCGAGGGTCTTGGCAAGAGGCGTGGAGTTAAAAGATAAAGAATCACACACAAAGTGGGAGTTGTCACAGCTGCTCTTTGCGATGACACTGTGCTCTTGGAGATTCTGAAGAGAAGTTGCAGAGATTGGTGGATGAATTTGGTAGGGTGTGCAAAAGAAGAAAATTAAAGGTGAATACAGGAAAGAGTAAGGTTATGAGGATAACAAAAAGATTAGGTGATGAAAGATTGAATATCAGATTGGAGGGAGAGAGTATGGAGGAGGTGAACGTATTCAGATATTTGGGAGTGGACGTGTCAGCGGATGGGTCTATGAAAGATGAGGTGAATCATAGAATTGATGAGGGAAAAAGAGTGAGTGGTGCACTTAGGAGTCTGTGGAGACAAAGAACTTTGTCCTTGGAGGCAAAGAGGGGAATGTATGAGAGTATAGTTTTACCAACGCTCTTATATGGGTGTGAAGCGTGGGTGATGAATGTTGCAGCGAGGAGAAGGCTGGAGGCAGTGGAGATGTCATGTCTGAGGGCAATGTGTGGTGTGAATTAATGCAGAGAATTCGTAGTTTGGAGTTGGGAGGTGCGGGATTACAAAACTGTTGTCCAGAGGGGGTGAGGAAGGGTTGTTGAGGTGGTTCGGGCATGAAAAGAGAATGGAGCGAAACAGAATGACTTCAAGAGTGTATCAGTCTGTAGTGGAAAGGAAGGCGGGGTAGGGGGCGGCCTAGGGGGGTTGGAGGGGGGGGAAAGGAGGTTTTGTGTGCAGGGCTTGACTTTCCAGCAGGGATGCGTAGCGTTGTTTGATAGGAGTGAAAGGAGACAAATTTGGTTTTTAATACTTGACGTGCTGTTGGAGTGTGAGCAAAATAACCCTTTATGACAGGATTCAGGGAAACCGGGAGCCGGACTTGAGTCCTGGAGATGGGAAGTACAGTGCCTGCACTCTGAAGGAGGGGTGTTAATGTTGCAGTTTAAAAACTTTAGTGTAAAGCACCCTTCTGGCAAGACAGTGATGGAGTGAATGATGGTGAAAGTTTTTCTTTTTCGGGCCACCCTGCCTTGGTGGGAATCGGCCGGTGTGATAATAATAAAAAAAAAACGAAAAACAGATAGCAGGAGATAGCATCTCTCAAGCGATCATATGTTAAAAGGCTAGGAAGTTGCATGACGATTTAATTAGAAAAATGCCAGCACCTAGTGGTGATGTGAGTGAATTTAAGGCCAGCAAAGGTTGGTTTGAGAGATTTAAGAATCGTAGTGGCATACATAGTGTGATAAGGTATGGTGAGGCTGCCAGTTTGGACCAAAAAGCAGCTGAAAAATATGTGCAGGAATTCAAGGAGTACATAGACAGTGAAGGACTGAAACCTGAACAAGTGTTTAATGGTGACACTGACAATGTTGTGAAACACTTTAGGAATGTCATAAAGGAACGGGAGGTACAGGCCTCTATGGGCAGATATGTTGTTCGACAGAGGTCCAGTGACTCTCAAGCTGGTCCTAGTGGCATTAAAAGAAGAAGGGAAGTAACCCCGAAAAAGGACTTGCCACCTCAAGTCCTAATGGAAGGGGATTCCCCTTCTAAACACTAAGACCATCAACACACTCCCCTCTTCCCATCCCATCAATCATCACCAGATCTTCAATAAAGGTAAGTGTCATGTAACTGTGCATGTCTTCTTCAGTTTGTGTGTATTAAAATTAATATTTCATGTGTTAAATTTTTTTTTTTTTCAATACTTTTGGGTGTCTTGCACGGATTAATTTGATTTCCATTTTTTCTTATGGGGAAAATTAACTTGACTAACGATTATTCTGACTAACGATGAGCTCTCAGGAACGGATTAATAGCGTTAGTCGAGGGTCCACTGTATATATATATATATACACACACACCTACCATCCGACTTACGACCAATTTCGGTTCCGAGAAACCAGTCGTAAGTCGAAATGGTCGTAAGTCGAACTTTACTACTGAATATCAACAAAACATTTTTGTAATGACTATTTTATTGTTTTATTTTGGTATTTAATGTTTTACTTTACTTTTTATGTTGTTAGTACTGTATTTTATACTGTAAGGTTTAGGAAAAACACTTTGTACAACACAAATAGTTGTTTATTTCCCAGAAATTTGGCATAAAAAACACGGTCGTAAGTCGAGTAGGTCGTAAGTCGGATGGTAGGTGTATATATATATATATATATAGAGATATATATTATCTAGGTAGTAAGTTGGTAGACAGCAACCGCCCAGGGAGGTACTACCGTCCTGCCAAGTGAGTGTAAAACGAAAGCCTGTAATTGTTTTACATGATGCTAGGATTGCTGGTGTCTTTTGTCTGTCTCATAAACATGCAAGATTTCAGGTATGTTTTGCTACTTCTACTTACACTTAGGTCACACTACACATACATGTGCAAGCATATAGTATATACACACCCCTCTGGGTTTTCTTCTATTTTCTTTCTAGTTCTTGTTCTTGTTTATTTCCTCTTACCTCCATGGGGAAGTGGAACAGAATTCTTCCTCTGTAAGCCATGCGTGTTGTAAGAGGCGACTGAAATGCCAGGAGCAAGGGGCTAGTAACCCCTTCTTCTGTATATATTACTAAATGTAAAATGGAGAAACTTTCGTTTTTCCTTTTGGGCCACCCTGCCTCGGTGGGATACTGCCGGTGTGTTGAAAGAAGAAAGAAAGATATATATATATATATATATACATGTACATATATATATATATATTATCTAGGTAGTAGGTTGGTAGACAGCAACCACCCAGGGAGGTACTACTGTCCTGCCAAGTGAGTGTAGAACAGAATCCTGTAATTGTTTTACATGATGGTAGGATTGCTGGTGTCTTTTTTCTGCCTCTTAAACATGCAAGATTTCAGGCACATCTTGCTACTTCTATTTACACTTAGGTCACACTACACATACATGTACAAGCATATACATGTATATATATACACACCCCTCTGGGTTTTCTTCTAGTTCTTGTTCTTGTTTATTTCCTTTTATCTCCATGGGGAAGTGGAACAGAATTCTTCTCCGTTAGTCATGCGTGTTGTAAGAGGCGACTAAAATGCTGGGACCAAGGGGCTAGTAACCCCTTCTCTTGTATATATTACTAAATTTAAAAGGAGAAATTTTCATTTTTCCTTTTGGGCCACCCCGCCTCGGTGGGATACGGCTGGTTTGTTGAAAGAAAGAAGATATATATATTATGTAATCACATGCATACACTCATACATATACATACATACAGGTACAATGGATCGTCCTACACCTCTTTAAAATCCGAACAAAATTACATAACTATTTTTTGCCACAGAGTATGTAATGCATGCTTACCTATATTATTTACACTACAGTTGTCAGTGGTCATCAATCAATTTTGAGAGATTCTTAGCTTATTTTGCTGACATAACATGTCAGTAGCTGTGGCTAGTGACAAGTTAACTGAGTTGTCAGGTGAAGTAATCAAAGGGCTGAGCAATGTTCCTTTGTGACAGAACAAGAGCTCATAGCAGTTGGTCTTCATCTGAAAAACTGGCTTCAAGTGCCCCGGATATCCTCCCTGTAATATAACAGGTTCATTCTGAAAGTCAACTGTCAAATAAACTAATCTTGACAAGCCTCAACTTTCAGACCTTTCCAATTACCTCTACAGGTCCAGTAATATACTAAAATTTATCACTTTGGGAGAGGTAGAAGTGCAACATTCTTTGTAAGTACAGTAATAAATAAATCTTTTTCATTTATGTTAATGTTTAATTTAAGTTTCCAGCAGACCCTGGTGGGTCAGAGATGTATTACTGAATTATTATTATGACCCCTGCTGGTCTGGCAAAATAAAAATTTTTTTAATTTTTCTGTTCTCATATAAATGCTGGTCAGGTAAAATATATTAGTATAAAATGATAAATTCTGAATACAGTACTGTATTAGCAACATGCAGTGGGCAGTTTAGAAAGTAGTGTACCCAGCTGTGGCTAGTTTAAAATTGTTTTAGTTCAGCTTCTGACAGCAGAGTGTGACCCCTTCTACTTCAGGTGAGGAGGAAACCAAGGAGTTGAGTGAATGCCGGGATCGGAGTAAGTACTGCAACATTGTCAAGAGGATGAACATGTGCCGTATACCAACTTACCGCAAACAGTGTTGCCGCTCCTGTCCTTAGCAGGACATCTTATTTCCTCGCCGTGGAGACACTTTTCCTAAGCCTCACCACAGCGCTACTGAAATACCAGTTACAGGTACAGGGACCCATTCACCTAGACCATGTAATCGCCATCACTTACTATCACAGGGCTATTTTATTCACTTTAATTTGAGTAAATCAGAATGCTAACGTGTGTGATGAGGTACTGAAGAACAGTAACTTAAAATTACTAAGTGAAACTAGCTAGCTGTTGATTGATGTATTATTAGTGGATTATTACTCGTGTGTAACATCTTCCTACAATGCTACACGTCACAGATTTTAAGCAGTTTAAGATTATACAGCCTTGTGTGCAAGTTAAGAAGCTGGTTATTATCTTGAACATGGTATATCAAGGTTAAGTATTCCTTGATAGGGAATAAAGAGGTCCTAAGCCAGTAACTAGTGATGAATAGCAAATATGTAAGTGATGTGGATGCTGAGTCAACATCAGTCTTCTGGTGTGAAGAACAAAACATTAGCCTGAACTGCAACACACTGTATATATTAAATGTCAGTCATTATAAAGTTCCAGCAGTTTTATATAGAGAGACATTAGCATATTTACATAATATTGGTTAGATAGACATGCTAAAACTGGGCAGTAGTTGCTTGAATATCTCATTAACGAAATATTCGATAATATGGTACCGTTTATACCAAGCATCAGAAAATGCAAGAGGTAGCTATATTATAAACTGTCATAGTTTATGTGCACTAAAGTAATGAATAATTCTGGGTTCATTTATCACAGGATAGTCCTAGAACATAGAGAGAGAGAGGAGAGAGAGAGGATCTGAACTTTGTGAAGGTGCTAGATATATAATTTTAAACAATTATAAATCTTCCGAATTGTTTCGTAATGCTACTTTAGTCAGTACGTAGCATTTTATCCTAATTTTAATGAAAATGTTCATTGCGCATACAATATCTGATGTAGTGTTATATTGCATTTAACTTCTATTAACACATTTATTTTGGTGATATATGGAGGAACTCTCACCTCTTATTTTTAATAAGTTCTTTTGATGATCTCATGTAAAAAGACTAACTTGTGCTCTATTACATCTGATGCCTACCACACGTTTAGTACATCAACATTGTTGACAATGTTTCCCCATGAGTACGTAATTACAAAACCTCTCTAACTGCACTGTATTATCTATTTTGTTAACTATTTAATTCATGTGACTAGCAGGATGCTGTGTTGTGAAGAATATTTCCCCTTTGAGGGGAAAAATCTTGAGGACTACGTCCCTGTGAGGAGTGTCATGAAGTGTCCCTCACTGGGAGGTATCCTCGAAGTATTCCTCAGTGTTTAGAAGGGTGAAATAGAATATTGCTGGTAAGTATGAAGACAGACAAAATTTGCAGAACCAGATTTTACTGGGATAACATTTCGCTCTGTCAGGGCACGACTGACTTGAAGCTCTACACAGAGCAGGACATAACGACATGGCTGTATACAGGATGAAATATAAACTTAGTAAAGTTCTGCACTGAGCAAAATTTTGTCTCTATAAGGGCCTGTTCTGCAACTTTTCTTTTTATCTTCTAACACTTTTTAACAGTGTTGGAGATAAGATATGCAGTAAGAGTCATCTTGTGTGGAATATGCTGTAGACTATATGTGCAGCCTCTCGTATCTCAGGCACCACGAAGATGAACATAAATATTGCATAATTACTATTCAAATACAAATAAATTCTCACATTTAATTCATATCTGACAGTAATTTATGCCCACTTTGGGAGAGGCCATGGGACCTAATGTGACTTAAGCTCATCCAAGCTGGCACACAAACCTAAGTTAGGGTTACACAATACGTATATGATTTAGCTGTCTGCAGGCATGGTATTTCTGTAACATATAGATAACGTCTTAGATAAGTGTCGTAAGCATCCCTGTATTGTAGAGCAATAACACCCTAATTGACATGTATGTACAGTAGATCTTAATCTGTAACACGTAATATAAAGAAAGTCCAAGGTACTGTATATGGTACATCGTGATGCTGCTGTAATATTTATTAGTTTATGTTTTTTTATATTACCCCATGTAAAGTAATACTGTACTTTGAATTACGATTAATACAATAAACTTGATCTTGTGGGCATGTAATATATGCATTGTTCTGTGGACAGTTCCACCATGCTCATCATTAATAATTTCCATTATAATATACAGGGAGTTTAAAAAATCACAATACAGGGTACTGTAATAGCCAGGTATATGATACCAACAAGTTGAGGAAAAGGACACGTATCATAGGCATGAAGAAGGTTCCAGGATTGTAACGTTTCCTAATAATAATATCCTAAGTGTTTGCTCACGTGTCCTTTTCCTCAAAGGGTACCTACAATAAACTTAAAATTGTAAAACTGTCACTATGTACTTGAATCTTTTGCCAGTTTCGTTTCATGAAATTAATAACCTATATCACCATTTTTGTTTTTGGCAATACATACTGTAATGATAAAATCTATGTATGGAAAGTTGTTCCATAATGTGTAAGAAAATTTTGGCCCTTCAATTTGGCTAGATTTTTCTTATGTGGGTTGGGATCCTGATACAGGTGCTCCTTGACTTATGATGATGGGGTTATGTAAGTCGAATATAAATAAGTAAATAACTACTGCCATTGAATAAGTAAATAAATAATTACTGTAACTAAATACCAGTATTGAAAAGTAAATAAATAATTACAAGTTATGGACTTGCTACCTTCATGCTGGGTAGTAAGTTTCACCCCCAAAGTAATTGCTTTTGCACCATTGTAAAGTCAAAATATCGTAAGTCGAACCATCATAAGTCGAGGAGCATCTGTACACCTTCAGTACATTCTGAATGATTCTACTGTATATTGTTTACTAATGTTTCATGCCACAAGGTCAGGGTCACATTCAGACTACCTCAGTTTGATTGTAAAAGAAGCTTGTGATGCCAGACTAGCAAAAAAATATATCTCATGGTGAAAGTAATGGTTATTAGAATACAAGCTGGGATACAAGCCATAGTATATACTTATGAGGAAGTTTATTGAATGAATATATGACAGATTATGAAGATATTTAATTGACATTAAGAGTTTAGTATAAAAGAGAGTGAATGTTTTTGATATAGTTTGAAAGGTAATATTGTGTAAGACATAATAAATTGTTAGACCAAAAAGAAATTAATATAAATAAGCACTTTTAACTTGATTAAGTTAGTAATGAGAGTTATACAGTTAGAATCACACAGTAAGAGTTATACAGTTAGTAAGAATCACAGTAAGGAGAGTTACACAGTTTACACAGCCCAACATTGAGATTAAATTCTCCTCAGCAGCTGTTAATAGCACTTTCAGGTCAGTGGTTGAGGAGGGTTATTGGAACATTATAATACAGTATCCATGTTTATTATTGGTCAGTCTCCTCACTAAGCATTTATTTAAATCCTTCAGTAGTGGAGAGCTAGAAGCATATACAGTTAAACTAATAGTTTATTTTTACTAGTTCCATCAGGATCTAATATTGATTATTATTATATTCATGGGAAAGAGTGAGACTCATAAAGAGCACCTGGGGAATGGGATTATTATTATAATCAAAAAGAGGTGCTAAGCCACAACTGGGGAATGGGAGATAATCAGGTTTGATCCATGGTGGGAGAGGGTAGCTCCAATTCATTTGTTCAAATATGATTGAGTGTGGAATTGACTAACATCTAACAATTTAGTTTGAGCCATTTCAGCTACAAATTATACTGACTGTACAAGACAGCACAAAAAAACTGAGAATGGGTTATTTAAACATTACCCATGTAACAGTGACAATAACCCTTGTGGTTTAGCACTTCTTTTTGATTATAATAATAATAACAGTGACAGCATGGGAACCTCGGCCTTAAATTTGGAAAGTATCCTCATAGATGTAGATATAGAACAAATTTCCACATTCCAAAAAGGAAAAAAAAATTGTCGTACATCTGCGATCTTTTGAATCTGCTGCAGCCATATTTAAAATTGTCAGATTTGTAGAAAATAATATTAACAGTCTGTTAAAAGTAGAGGTAACTATAATTTATTATAAGTCAGATGCAGTTATACTGGAATATCATATTAGATTTTGAATTGTACTTGTATAGCTTGAATTATACACTGCATTGTACATACAAAATTTAGTTAAATAACTATTATTATATTCATGGAAGGTACAAAATCTATAAGGATAATTCACTGCTACAGCTAAATTTTCCGAAATAAACATGCAACAAGTTTTGTTAACTTTTACATGGTATTAAATATGAAATAAGAAAAATATGCTACTTTATTAAACTATTAACAAAAACAATTTAGTTTAGTATGTAAAACTTAGTGCAGTGAACCATTGTTAAGTCATTCATGAGTTGAAACCCTCCCATTCTTTAATCCTCAAAATCCTTTGGTTCTAGATATCTAGTTAGGGAAGCTATTACTCAGTGGAGGTGCCATGGGGGCTGAAGCACCCCATAATTTCCATCAGCCTCCACAAATAAAATTAATGTCAATAATAATGCAACTTCAAGACAAGTAACATAGTCCCCCCCCCCTCTTTCAACCAGACTGCAACCCATAAGCCCCTCTAATACACAGATTAAGAGCTGCCCTGCTGTTACTGTTTGTAGCCAGTTACCTTTCAGTATGGACGATAATAGCAACACAACTGCTATGCAAGACTATTGAAACAAGAGTAAAACTTCATATATTTGCTATTATTTATATGTTATTAGAGCAAAAGTAAGAGTAATACTGGAGCAATAAAGTGTGTGAAAGTTTTGCAAGAAATTTAGAATCTCATGTCATAATTTAAAAACAATCTGATTTCTCACAAATTTAGGGTAAGTTATTGTTAGTACAAAAAAAAAAAAAGGATGTTAGAGTTTGAGAGTTTCATCATATTGATGGAAGCAATAACAGGGAAAATATTTCTAAAGCTAAACTGGAATTTTTATAAATTCAGGAAAATAGGATCAGGACAACAATGTGAGATGAGTACATGAAGGTAGGACAAGCGAGTATATATGAATCTTTGTGTTTTGCAAGATTAAAGAAGGAATCTTGCATTTGACATGACTGCTGTGTTCAAGGTAAAAAGATTTTGTTGAATCAGGCACTGTAGAAATTAAGATAGATACAATTTGCAGTATATTTAGGGAAAATAATTACTGAAGGAGTAAATGAGGAGATGGCTGCACCAGCCTGTGTATATTATTTTCCCAACAGTAGTATACTTTGCACAAGATAAATACAGGAAATGGTAAATACAGTAAAGGCCCTCTTATCTGACCATAAACTTGACTTTAATCAGGAAATAGAAAAAGTCGGTTACTTGAGCAGAATGTTATTTATAAGGGAAAAATAGGGATACATTTCAGACATCTCCCAGTCACATTTTTTGTTTTGTTTTTCACTCCCAGCCCATAATACATATATTTAAGATTATATCCTTAAAGTTACTAAAACTATTATGAATATGCAACCAAAGAAAGAAAAATATGGTATCAGTTGTTAATGATGACTGATCCTCATATGTACAAGTTAAGATACCTGGGATTATATCTGACTTGGATATATGAGGGTACAGCTGGAAAGCTCAAGTATTGTACAGAATGATATTTACAAGGTTGGATAAAAGGACCTTTACTATATTAATTGTGCCAATATGATGTAAACAAACATGTGAAATAAGTCCCTCTGACAAGCTTCAGGTTAGACTTACAGTAAAGTAAAAATGTAAGCCTTTGTAATGTACAGTAGGGCCCCAACTTAGGATAATATAACTTACATGAGCTACACTTACAAGCACAGACTTTTCCTTCCAAAGGGCAAGACTACATACAGCCATGGAAATATCACTTCAAATAAGACTGTATCAATATTTAAGTAATATACTGTATTGAAGCTCTGTTATGATTGCTGTAATTATCATTTACACTGTAAACACCGAGACTGCTGTATTTGCCACTGAAAAGGTAACGGTAATGAATGTAAAATATTTGTGAAATATTCCTAGATACAGAATATAATGTTTTGGGATCTCAATTTTTGACTATAACATGGGTGTCTATGGGATAATAGGTTATAGATTCTGAACACTCAAATAATGAGCAGTCTTCAGGAACATGTTGATGTTAAGTGGGGGCCCTACCGTTTCATAAAATGTCTTGTTTTAAAGGTCCAGCGATTCATCTACTGTGGCCTTATGTGCACATTAAAAACATACAATACCAGGTTGCCTACATTGCTCTTTACAGTCTCCAATTTCCATATTGTAAAGCGTCAATTCTTGACATTCCTGTGTGTGGCGAGGGATGCAGTAATAATGAGTTGTGAACTTGTATTAATCACTGTAACATGTTATATTATATAAAAACACATGCACACACACATTACATACATAATATTTATATAGGATGGAGTCCACCTCTGGTGTAAATTGTGGGACCCACAGCCTCAGAGAAGTGGATAAAAAGGCTTCAAGGAAGAATATTTGGATTTCTTTCTGAAGCCGTTTGAATATTCCACTTTCCCTACCACCCCATCTTTTCATTCTTTTTTACATATATATATATTATACATATATATATATATATATATATTTTATATATAATATATATATTATATATATATATTATATTTACATACTTTATTTAAGACAAAATACATATTTATATATGTATTTACTTAAGTTACAGACACACCAGTTAACTTAAAAACACACTAAGGAGAGGACGCTTACAATATTTTGGTCCATGCTGGACCACTGTCAGGTGACAACCCTCAGTAATGATTTGACACTGGTTGAGAATGGACTGAAACCATTTTCATACAGTTCCTCTCCTAGGTGCAGGTTTTTGGTAAATTGTTCCAGCCAATGGTAGTATGACTATATACTGTCCACACTCACCAGTCCCTTAAATTTTCAAGTGGCACGAGTTTTCCAGCCCTACAAGACCCTGTAATGAAAGCCAAATAAAAATAAAAATAAGGAAGTTAGCAGAAGTATCATACCTGGAGCTGGCTCCAGGTATGATACTACTACCATTCTTTTTTATCTTGACATTAATTTGACATTAATGCTAGATCATTAGAGTACTGAAAAGCTATGCCACATTAACCAAGAACAGTACCCTGCGATTTTTTCACACACACACACACAGTTTACATGGAAAAATACCACAATAAAATACCAAGAAAAGTTAGGCCTTTGAACACATGTTTACACAGACATCTTTCAAAGACCTAGAAGGAAACTAGTTCCTCCGAGTATTGTGTAAATGCACAAATCACTAGGGTTTATTATATTATTTATTTGTTTGCATTTTTTCCATATCCATAATCATGCATTTTTTTAGTTTATACATATACACATGGTGTCAAAAGATTTCACAAAAAATAAGTAATCATGACATAAACCAAATGTGTGTGGCAGGATTTTTCAACCTGAAGAACAGTGGACATTAAGATACCAGCTAGACTAAAATACTGTCCAGGTGTAAACTTAAGACCTATATAGGCATCCTAGCAGTACCTGCAATTGCATCATATTATATTTCATTGACTTATGTATTTTTCATTAATGAATAAATACTGCATAGTGTTCTTTGCAATGTGCATTTTTTGAGATCATGTGTAAATAAATACATATTTATATAAATTTATGTACATTCAAGAATTTTTTGAAATCCTTTTATTTTCTTGTCAGAGGTCAAGCTCCAGCTCCTGTGTACTACTAATTAACCAGTAATGCTTCCCGAGACCCTGACTGTTATACAGTACAGTAAGTCCTCGACTCACAAACATGTTGAGAATCTAATGTACTGTATATATAGAGAGAGGCTGGACCTGGATAAGAGTACCATACCTGGACATTGAATTACTGTACCAGAATGAGCCAGAGAAATATAATCAGGAACTCCTGAAGCATAAATGAGGGGAGAAACTGGAAACCACTAGTAGTAGTGAAGGCTAATTCCACACAAATTGAAATACAAATATGACAAAATCCAAGTCCTTTTGAATAGATTATGTTAGGTGGTTAAGGGGTGGGACTCCAGGACTAGAGTTTGACTCACAAACACAGGTAGGCACACACAAACATATTAAGTGTACACATGAGGACGTTTATGTACTCATTGCTAGGAGAGTAGACACTCGTGCTTACTTGGACTAGCAAGCTGGAAATTTGTTTCAAAATTTAAGATGTATCTATTAATTTTTTAAGCACGTATTTTCCAGTTTTCCAAAATAACTATAATGGAAAAATGGCGTGGAACTGGAACGGATTTTATTTTAATCTTTGGGTTAAGCTAATACTGTTATTAAATAAAATACTGATTATCTTGTTTAAGACTAAAAATACATTTCATTATATTAATGAAAAGTGTTTTAATTGTTTCTTGTATGAGACTTAAGGCTGGTTCCTCGCCACACCTAGTCTAAACAGTCCCAACTTGAGATGTTACATACTCCCAACTTACTCATTTCTACACCTGTACTCTGTATTTTACATTTCTCCCTCTACATTCTTCAACTCATGCATTTATCAATTTTATTATCTTCCTGTATTTATTTTTCTCCACTTGTACGTGCATAGCGAAATGTGACTGTATATATTGCTGTAAGTGCATTGTACAAATAAAGCACTAGACAAACAGTTTTTTTATGTTCCTGTAAAATAACGTATGCAGTTTTACTGCTTTTATTGAACTCTATTTAAGAATACGTGCTAAACCAATTTGGGTCATATGGCACCTGGGGTACAATGCCTTTTTTGGCAGCTTCTATTCATTCTTAACTGTCCAAACTTCATGATTTTTCCAGATATGTATTATTCTCAAGTTATGCTGAATGGTTAGCAGAGATTAATTAGAAAACAAAAAAATAATTAATGCCATCACTGAAACCCTAACATCTAAAAAAAACTGGCAACTGTAAATTATACCAGTTTAATTGTTTCAGAGAGATACACACAATATTCACTATAATGTAAGCTGTTTCAGTATCTACATTAATTTCACAAAAAATATGAAATTATACAGGAAAAAGCAAAATATATATATTTAAAAATTTCTCAAACTATAACTCACAAAGATTTTGGAAACTGTGCTCTTATATTGCAAGGGGATGGAGTTCTGTATAAAAACAAAATCATGTGATTTGAACAATAAACAGAAAGATAATTATATTTTTTTTATTTTCATCATTAAACCCATAGGGATCACGTAAGGTGAAAACTGGGAGTCAATCAGTTTTGATCGAAAGAAAGCAAGGCCGAGCCCAGTTCCTTGGATTAAAAGACCTCGCTGGCATCAAAATACTGCTGCTATTGAGAAAGGAATATATTTTGAAGCCCCAAAACACAAATTTCAACCAGATCTATAACCAAGCCATCAATGTTGTTGTACTACATGCTCACCCTGCTGCCTTCTCAGGTGTTGTACTACCTGCTTACCCTGCTGCCTTCTCAGGTGTTGTCTCCCGCTTACCCTGCTGCCTTCTCATTTGTTGTACTACCTCTTACCCTGCTGCCTTCTCAGGTGTTGTACTACCTGCTTACCCTGCTGCCTTCTCAGGTGTTGTACTACCTGCTTACCCTGCTGCCTTCTCAGGTGTTGTACTACCTGCTTACCCTGCTGCCTTCTCAGGTGTTGTACTACCTGCTGCCTTCTCAGGTGTTGTACTACCTGCTTACCCTGCTGCCTTCTCAGGTGTTGTACTACCTGCTTACCCTGCTGCCTTCTCAGGTGTTGTACTACCTGCTTACACTGCTGCCTTCTCAGGTGTTGTACTACCTGCTTACCCTGCTGCCTTCTCAGGTGTTGTACTACCTGCTTACCCTGCTACCTTCTCAGGTGTTGTACTACCTGCTTACCCTGCTGCCTTCTCAGGTGTTGTACTACCTGCTTACCCTGCT